GGAAGACAAAAAATGAACATATGAATGAATGGGAAACAAATGCATGAACAAAATGTCCCTTTTTTAACTAAAATCCAAACAATGGCTGCTGAAAAATGAAAAGAACAGTTGGACAGCGACCTGAGCAAGCACTAAATGGAAACACCATGATTATACCATGAGTATACAATGACAAAACCTCTTATTGAGAGGTTTAGCTAAAAAGCTTTCCATGAAGGACTGTCTTCTAGATTGTAGTCTACTCAATTTAAGAAGGGAACACATCAGAAATACTTGCGACAGCTTTCACTTTCATAGGACATGTGAACTGAAATTTAACCATTCACAGTTTTTTAGTCAAGTGGTACTGGTGGATAAACCTGCTCTGATCTTCACCAAAGAAATTTTGAACTTTTGAAATGCACATCTATTTAGGAGAGCAATATAAGAACAAAAGAACAAATTAGCAAAGACTCAAATGGACCAGCTTGTATGACAATAAAAATCATATTTTATTTTGTACGTCTGGCACTTCAGAAACTTAAAACTTTGTACTTACCTCATCACAAATGTGAAGTGCAAGAATCAAAGCCATAAAGCCAGTGGATGGATAACGTCCCTTATTTCCAAGCCAAACCTCATGTACATATTTCATGAAAGCTGGATTTACCACCATGACCTGTTAGAAATTAGAATGAGCCTTTAAACATCTTTTATTTTTAATTATTACCATTGCCACCAGGAAGCTTTGCCATTGACGTTACTCACCAAATCCTTGTTAGTTTTGATCTTTGATTTCACTGGCATATATGACCTGTTGGAAACATCATGACATTGAAACATATAAAGTAGGTGTTTAACAAAAACAAAGCTAAAAAAAGGCATGGTCCGTCTTGAACATGGAGAAGGATCAGAGTAATGGTTTGATACAGAAATTCACCTTATTTCACCTCACAGTACATCCATCAGCCAAATCCTTTTAATCTGCGTACATGTTGAATTCATGCACTGGCATTCTATTTTTGCATTTGATGTAAATTCTGTGCTGCCAGACAATCTAGGGGAAATCTTTTGAGATACTTTGCTGTGGTAATTTTAGCAGCTGGGAGAGAAGAAGGTAGTGTATGCTGACTGTAACATCTAAACCTAAGAGTGTTATTTTTTTCTTTTAATGGGGTGGCATTGGTGGGACCAAGAAGAAAGCTGGGCAAGCTCAGATAAAATCAGAATATTTTATATACAAAATAAATTACAAAATGATTGTATGATTGAATGTATGATTTTCATGTGCCCAAATTAGTGGCTGCACAACTGCCTAAAAATGGTTTACATAAAATAACTTTTCAACAGGCATTAAGAGTCTTTATTTTTTATTTATTTATTTTTACTTTATATTAAGTCACAATCCTAAGAACAGTACAAAAGCATACTTAAATGAACTACAGTAAGATGAGTTGTTATGAGGACACTTCATCTGTCTGCATGTTGCATAAAAAATGTAGTCATAGTATGATTTCAGGATAATCAGTTTGTAGAGAGCTTAGTAAGAAGGTGCCGTCATTTGAGATCTGTCTTCGTGGAATACATTGCAGAAAGACTTTCATCACTTTTTATTTTCATCACTGGGAACTTGATCTTTATGAGGCAGATTTTGCTATTTTATTTTTTTCTATTTTATTATTTTCATTTAATTATGTTTGTCTAAAACAGGTCTCTCTTGTAAACGAGACACTGAGTCTCGTTAAATAAATGTCAAATACATGTGCATGTAGCCCTGAAAAATAGAACTCACCTTCCAGTAAACCCTGTTGTAGAGGCATTAATGAGCCACTCAAAGTCCTGTATCTTAAAGGGAAACAGTACAAAATGGGTGTTGTCATCCAAATCCACAGCACTCTCTGGATACATGACACGATGAGTTGTCTTGTTTCCAACGTCTTTTTCAAAGCCTCTGGTAATACCAGTGTTCATTCTAAACAGCACAAAGGGATATATTTCACATCAGTTTGGATCTTTTGTGTAGGAGGGGACATTTAATGGTAAAGAAAATTTGCTTTAGCTTAGAAAGTACCTTATGACAACTTCATGTAAATCTATCAGCGGTCCATAATGCGATCTCCTTAAATTACCAGAATTACCCACCACAGCACAAGTCCTGCAGTGGTCATATTTGGGTTGTATAACATCTGGATTCTGTGGGAAGATCTGAAACAAGTTGGCCACCGTTGTTTCATAAACTCTGAAGCTACGGCTTTCAGCCTGCAAATCCTGTCAGACATTTCAAATAAACTTTGCTGTTAGACCAAATGAGCTGGGGGGGTAAAAATGTCATCCTTTCCTGGTGACTACTTACCTTCCACCAGTTGAATTCATTCTGTGAGAGGTTTAAGTTTGCAGTCAAAAATGGTTGAACACTTCTATTCGATCGATCCAGAAGCAACTGCTTATCCTCTGATAAACATTTTATGCAAGCACACAGCTTTTGGTCCACAGCATAATGAGTCAAATGGTAGCCCGTTTTGAAATACACACCAATGCAAGTGAAACACATCAGGAAAACAAGTACCTTAAATTTTGAAATCATTCTAGATGTGCGACCAGGAAACATTACCAATCTGCAGACAGAGTGTGTGGAGATACACACAAGTTATGCTCACAACAAGAAAAGACGTCATATAATGCTTATATAATATCCGTATTGTGCAAAACGAACAATATAGTCCTGCAAGGACAAGTCTTAACTTAATTGCCACTTATACAAAGCCATTAAAAACTAAACAAATAAATAAAGAAGTCATGTTTATTTTCAGGAAAGTAAACATTTGGCTACATAAAACAGATGACGTTTTATGTAGTGATATTTGTATTCACTCATAAGAAAATAACATCAGCAAAAATTAAGCTTTTTTTACCGCATCGTTTGTAAAAATATGATACTTTTCTATATGACTTACCCGGTCTGCGAGGAAATCCCTTTCTGGTCTAGTTTTATGAAATACAAGTACAAAAGTCGCATAGACTCACTATCGGTGACAACTTTTTCACCGTTTCACTCACAGGTAACAAGCGTGACATACTCGTTTGCTACCCGAGAACGCGATGCCTTCGTCTCTGACAAAGGTGTGGAGAGGTGTGGTTTTTGCGGATTTCCTCATGTTCCCGTGTTCGCGTTTGGAAACCGACCTGCAGTCTATGTATATACGATACTACAGACTATATATATCTTCCACAAAACCTTACTTTGTTCAACTTTGTCCTAATGTGACTGTTTTCGCTTATAGAGATTCCTAACGGCTTTAAAGGTGTAAATAATCACAATATGAGCTCTGTTTATATCCAGTTTATTCACTGAGACAACACACAGCATAAACAGTTATACAGTATCAATTTTCATTTTAAAAAGCCGAAGCAGACCGCGCGCGCGCATGCTCTCCATTTCACTCTTTGCTGGGGGAAAAAAACAAAAACAACAACATGTTAAATATGAATCCACATGATGAAGATCTCTGCATCTTAGCTGTGCTTCTGTCACTTAATAAATGTGGACAAAGTTTGTGTTTTTTCCCAATTATGAATCGTATTCTTATATATTACTTACCTTAACATTTGAATGAGATTTGCATATTAGTTGCTGTTGTCTCTCCTCAGAAAAAGGTAGATTAGAATAGGGCTGGTTGTCACATGAGTTGGTTGTCACATGCTTGTTACTGCCACATTAGAGCACACAGTCAAATTCTGTTGACATCACATATTTGATCTGTCAATCTGTCCATTTTGCAGACACACACAAAACTTTGCGAGGAGGAAGTATTTTGCCATTTCCATGAGTCAGAGTAATTTTTTGTCCCATTGTTCTTTTTGTATTAAAATCTCACACAATATTATTCATTTAAAAAAAATGAATGGTGGTCCTGTGTTGTTGTTGTTGTTGTTGTTGTTGTTGTTGTTGTTGTTGCAGACAACAACAGCACATACATTTACATACATTTGTCATAATTTGTGACTAGTATGACTCTGAGTCAGGGTTGCTACATCAAGACTAGAAACCTTAAAATGGAGATCCCCAAAATTTTCTATATCTTGGTCATAGGGCATGCGTCAAGACTAAAAATGTTCTGAGTCAGACTGATATTAATGTAGTACTGGTTTTTTTTTTGTTCATTTGTTGTTCCATGTTTACACTGACTGGCTCGCTATTGCTCAAGTTAAAAAAGAAACCTTGCAGAGAAAAACTTAGATATGGGGGCCTTCTGGCCTTTTTTAATGATATCAGTGGTATATGTTGGCATTAGTAGTGATAATCCCAAATAATGACATCTGCATTGTTTTCATGTATTATTTATACTGATGTCAGCACTGGTGATATGGAAATCTAGTCTAGTATATTACTTCTGTCTGTGTCACTGTGAAGTCATAGAATGTTGTATTGCAAAGAAACAATGTTTTAAATAGCTCAAACAAATTAAGTGCTTATGTCAATGACTAATACATAGCTTCAACATTTGTAGTCGATCCAGTAGAAACTAAAACTTTTTCATAATTCGTGTGACCCTGACCTTTGACCAATGACCATGAAGCAATACATAATAATGTGGTGTATTTTATTATGTTTACTATTATGATTGGAGCAGAAATGACTAAAATCTTTGGCTGTAAGACATTTTAAGACATATTCATGCAATGTGTGATTTTGTGATACTTCATGTTATCATTGTGACGTCGTAGGGCATTGTATTGGGAAAAAAAACATGCTGTACAGCTTTCCCCATGACCTTTCATATGATATATCTTTCGAAATGGTCTCTTGAAATTTTTTTCAAAGTCAACTTTGACCTTGGTCAATTCGTATCTTACTTTTGTCTTATTGGTGCCTTACTGGTGTCTACCATCACACAAAATTTAAAAATGATATCTTAAAAACTGTAAACACTAGACTGCTAGCAAATAGACAAGTAAACAAATAAACGGAAGTGATTAGCAATTATGTGGCCGATTAGAAAACCAAAGGCCTCAAAGAGCCTTGAGGCAACTGTTGTCAATGTTGTAATTTGGTGCTATATGAATTGATTTAAACTCTGTCTTAGAATCCAGTGGCAAAGTAGGAAATTCATGAATGCAATGGCTGATTAGTGAACTCACCACAAACTAGTATAGTTATATGTGAGTGCATTTGTTTTCCATTTTTACTATGGCCACTCTTTCTAGCTATGCAGCTGATGAATGCCCATTATAGTTTCAAAGAGTCATGAGGAGATATGAAGGGTAATCCCAATGTCTGAATTGCTTAGGCCCATAAACCCTGTGTTCTCCTCAGACATGCTCAGACATAGTTGCAGCAGAAGCACTTGGGGGGGGGAAAATCCTGCACTTCAATAACCTATCAGCATTAAGGGTGTTCATGTTTTTTTCTTTCATAATGTATAATTCAGTGCTCCTTGAACCTGGATCTCCAAAGCCTGTCCATAAATCCATCACTTCTTCAGCTACAGTCAACTTTGCTCCTCATAATACTTATAAGAAAACTAGCACTCCATCATGCCC